GTACGTGTAGATGTCAGGATAGACATGGATTATGTTAACCTATAAGCTGTAAACATTACAACAATTGTAAGTAGGTTTTAAGAACAGTTTGTGGGTAATATTTCCAGTTATTACTTATTAGTGAGATGAATATTATTATTATTGTAAAATGTCTGGTATTTTACTGTAGGTGGCCTCGTGCCCGTGATATACCTTCGTTATAGTGGTGGATAACCTGTCAACATTGCGTTGCATGAACTGATTGACTACTTATTCGAAGCCTGTTTTGGGAATCGTGTGTTAGAAGTTACATGCAGTACTCACACTTGTCATTGCGAAATACAGTTTGGAACAGTTTCAAGTTGTTGTGTATATTGGACAATGGATAAGTCAATGAACATTACATTGTTTTGAACTCTGAATATATATATATATGTTAATATTCTATATGTTCAATTTATGCTTACATATTAAGTATGGTTCGTTATTACATGGACAATGTGATGAGGGTTACAAAGCAAAATAAATCTGTGAATGGTATATTGAGTTTGTAATTATTTACCCTTGTGACATTAATTGGTGGTTTATGGTGGGTCTGAGGTGGGTGTTGACTCACAAAATGTCCTCCCCCGCCACCTTTCAAAACAGATCTGTGCCCTTCCCTGGGTATGTCATTAAACTCTTTGAATCGGCTCCTGATTTTTGTCTTAGTGACATACATTTGTTTTTAAAATGTGATCTTGTTTTTCATGTCAATTTTTCCTGATTATGACTATTCTGGATAAATAATGTTTTGAGCAGAGGTGGCCTGCCACCCCCCTTCCTCTCCCTTCATTTTTAAGGAAAAAAAAAAAGAAAAATATATTCAAATTTAAGTGTGAGAGTGTAATTTCTGGCCATCTAGAGATGCCCTAATCATAAATTTTTTAACCTCAGCCCCAACCATGGTGGGTGCTTCCTCGGTCTGGTTCACATCTCTTTCAAATTCCTGGATCTGGTTGTTGATTTATTACATAATTATTGTTGCGCTTATTTATAATGCAATTTATATTGCAATGTTCACTTTATCCTCTCAAAACAATCCTAAGAACGTTCAGAGTGCGCTACTTCACAGGGGAATTTGCCACCTGGACCCCGCCGGGTCATACGTAAATACGTAATTCACATAACGGCTCCCCCCCACCTCCTTCAAAATCCTGGCTACGTCCCTGGCCCCATTACCATTGCCTGAGGCTGTACCAAACCTGAGAAATGACATCATCTACACTAAATGTCGGGCTTTTACTGGTCACAGGCATTTTATTTGGTCTGAATACAGGAGGCCCTGTACAGAAATATACTCCTACATCACTCTCAAACAATCCTATAGAAGGCAGCATAGCTATAACAAAATTATCATGAAAGCTATACAGGGCATACATACGACGCCCCTCACTATAAAATATGGTCAAAGAGGGCGTCGTCGCGACACCATACGACTGGAAAGGGTTGATTTAATATCTTAATCAATCACAACACAGTAATATTTTATGGAATATCATTGACCAATAAAGTAATACAATAAATAATATAATTATAAGTAAACTTATGGTATGGTAACCATTACAGCAGTGGTTTAAAAAAAAAATAGGTCGACATGCCACACAAACATTCAGGATGTTAAAGAAAACAACCTATCTTTGAGCTAATTTAAAGCTTTTATGATGTTTAAAATATACTAAATCTAGAAGAGTGGAATTTATTTTGGATAAAATAAGAGCCCATGCATTCAAGCTTATATTGGTTTCCATTATTCAAATGAGATGGTATTAGTTTGCTACTGAACAGGCTGCTTTGCAGTAGGATTTTAACCTTTGACCCTGCAACTGAATCATTTCCTATACATTTAAAGTACCAGTACAGTAGTTGTTTATTCTTAGGAAGTGAGTATTAAGAAAAGCTTTGAAAAAGTAAAAAATTGTTTATATTGTACCAGTATTTAGATTCACTTAATGACTTTGAACTAGCATGTACTAGCAAAAACAAAGTTAATATTTATTTAAGATAGCTGCAAGTAGCATAGTTCAGTTGGATATAAATGGTGGTAGCCATCGTGTGAGCTCAGCTACTGAGATCTTTAGTCCCTGGTTAAATTTCTGCATTGCTACTGTCCTTGTGAGTCAACTAGAGGTCTAATTATATTGCTCAGCGTATTTTGGAAAAGGCATTTTAGCTTTTGGAAATGTTTGATTCAAGCCCGATGACTAATTGCAATAAAAAAATTTAAAAAAACCTCAAAGCTAACAAATATCAAAGAATACCTTGGCTGGGTAGACCATTTATCAGGAACATGTATTTATCTTTAGATTGAAGCAGTTTTATTAAATAGGGACCAAGGGTTTTGTGATGACTTTGGACTTCAAACACTTGGCAGGAATAGGATGAGATGTTAAAGATTTAGTCGAGCCCACTGCAAATTTGCACCAATGGTCCACCTCCACCCACCCATAACTCTGTTTCAGCAAAGGTCTCAAGGTTGCATAGTGCTAACATATGGAAATATCATACTCAAGAGCAGGTGTCACTATTGGGTGCCATTAAGAAATAACAAATCTTTACTTACTTCCCATAGATGAAGCGACTTCTGCTGGTACAAGTTTCTGAAACGTGTTATAGATGCCAGCATTGGAGATAACAACTGGTGCTCGGATGTCAACATCACCGCTACTACGGGCAACACGAACGCCTGGAGACAGGAGAACAAATGTATTTAAGTACGACTCTTACATGATTAAGTGTGATTTAGTGGAATTATTGACTATTGATGGCATCACCATTAGAATACACATGCTGTACATATACGGTCATCATTGGAAAAGCACTTAAAGACATTTTAATTTCTCATTTAAATATTATGGTTTTAGCTTTAATATAGAATGAAATTCTCAATACAGATAGCATATATAGATATAAAGAACCTGTCACTGCACTTGCATACAAGCCTGATAGCAAACTTAAATTTTATTAAGTTACATAAATGATAGCTAATCACAAGACAGATTAGGTCAAATTATTGCATAAAGAATTAAATGCGAGCCAACAATAAAATTATAAATTGAAATTTCCAAACACTGACATTAGCTTACCGCATGCTTTTCCATTTTCTACCAAGATTTTGGTTACGGGTGCCCTGACAAGGACACGACCGCCAGACTTTTCGATAGTTGGGATGATAGTGAATGCGATTTCACTTGCTCCTCCACGGGGATAGTAGCAGCCGTAGATGAAGTGGTTGACAAGCATAGCGTGCATGGCAAATGTTGAAGATTTCGGTGGAGTTCCTGTGATAAAATTTAATCAAAAACAAAAACCACAATCAGAGGAAAAATACTAATGCATTTTGGTTGATCAACAGTAATCATTGGGCTTAAAATATATTGTTATGGTATTAAATTTATCAACTATAAACTGAAAATGTGCCTTTTCATTTCGAACAGGCCTTTTCAAAAACTACAAATCATTTTGGACTTGGGTAAAAGAATATATTTTTGCAAAAAAAAGCAGTCCTCAGATTTTTTAGATAGCAGGGAAATTAGGCATATATGCACAACAACTTTTTGTTATCAACATGAAGTTATATCATGGAGCATGGAGATATTAATACTACATTTCAACCCACTCTAGCAACTGTTGTAGGATATGGATATGAATACAATAATAAAAAAATAAAATAACACAAAACCACCATACAATATACGAAAGTTGCATTATAAGTCCGAAGTCTACAATATACAAACACCCATCCACTGTAAATTTGACACCTTTACATTAAATATACTTAAGAAAAGTATTTAACTAGCAACCTATCTTGATTTTATAATATATTTACTTTGTTACTTGATTGTTTTACTGTTGAATCTGGACCTCTTGGAAGACCAGTGCATACATTATGTATTGAAAGAGTATTTCCAGAATAAAGAAAGATTTGAATTTGACAAAAAAAAAATTGGCGTGATTTTCGAGCATCTAGTCTTTCTTTTCTGTGTGACATCTAATTTGAAGTTTCTATTCTTTTGCTTATACTACTGAAAAACAAAATGCCTGTAAAAGTTTCCCTTAAAATCTGTTATCAGAATTTGAGTTGCTTTTTTGTTTTAAAGTGCAATTCCTTCGCATATTTCTTTGCATATTCTTTGTGTATTACACATTTGTGAATATTGTAAACCAATATGCAGCTCCTTCTGCTACAATGTAAGGTACTAGTACTACATTTCAGTATCTTAAGCATGAAGTACTTCTACTTTTGAATAAAAATACAATAACAGTTTTAAGTAGCATACCATAATCACCATAACAATAGCAGAACAAAGCCTGCAAGTCCTTGTTGTCTGTGAGTTGATCCAAGACCTCTTGTGTAGTCATTTTAGCAAACTTATCATATTTTGAGAACATCATTTTGCTTAAACCGGTCATATTCAACAGCTTTACCAGAGGTTTTGGTGCAATCTTCGGAAACATGAAGCCCAGAGAACTCTCCTTGCATTCCTGGCATTTAATATACAAAAACATTATCATCATTTAATGATGATATATTATTTTAAAAATCATTTAAGGTTAAATAAATGGGTGGAATTGTTGTTGGGGTGGGGGTGGTTTACATATAAGTTTGGGAAAGGGATAACATAACAGTATGTTCTTTAACAATTTTGCTTCTGTTAGTTTCCAATGTTGACATATGAGGCATGTTGTGGCAAAATGGCTAAGTTGTAGCAAAAATTGAAATTCAAGTTATTGGTATTTTCAGATACCTGAGTATGTGATCTTTAAAATAGGGGGTCGTTCATTGAAATTGGACGTTTCAAGTTATTGGAAAGTGAAAGTACAATACTCTTAGAGTCAAGATAAACATGATTTTAAGTAATTCCCTTTCAAAGTTATTTGTGCATACATTGTTTAATAGAATGAACTATCAAAATACCATTAAATAAACAATTTGTTGACCACTTCCAGAAATAATACTTTGGTACACGATTAATAAGACATTAAACTGTTGATCTATAGTGAAAAACAAATTTTGATTTTTAGGGAATTTTTTGAGCTCCCATATTTTATAGCTCATTTACTCAATACTAGTATGTGCGACAACTTAACCATTTCGCCATGACGTGCTTCATATAATTTGTGCCTACAAATATAAAGATAGTGGCCCATGGGACAATAAATATGTGGTAACATATATTGTATTATACTAGAAATTAAATATCATTTTGTTTACAGCTTTAGAAAAAAACAGCAGAAAAAATATCTCAAAAAACTGAATAAAACAATTTGAATACACCAGAAACCAAAAATCAATTTGAATACAACAGAAACTGAAAGTTCGACTGATTAATCTCAGATAAGAAAGTATAATACATACTCCAAGTATTGAAATGCACACCATCGTGTTTTGGGATTCAATATTTTTACATTAATTATGTCATCATCAGGAATGAATACACTAGCTCATTACAAGGATCAAGTAAGTTCGACAAGCCGAAACAGACTGGAACAAAATATTTTCACTGATTTACCAACATTTTAATAAATTAATTGATTACCAGAGCATATATAATAGTATGCAAACAAATACGGCAATAGTATTCCACATTCAATTTTTTTATTGCAAGTTATTTAAATATAGAATACAAAATAAGCAATTAAATATAGAATTGAATTTTTCATTTTTTTGTAATACATGACAGACAGTATTATATCTATTAATGACCTTCAAAACTCATTGAGATTACTTTGATAGTTGTGATGGCGACAACTATGATTGCGATTGGACTATGAACTATTTTGTTAGCTATCGTTTTCCCTATAAATCTGTCAATGTATTTGTTTATCAAAATTATGTTATCTGTCAGAAAAAATTTAAGAAAATAAGAATGGCATAAGTTTATTGCAAGGATAGATGCCCACTCCATGCAGCATACGCAAGTTATTTTTTCTATAGACAAGGTAAAATTATACCAAAGTGTAGGCACTGCAAAAGAACTTAAATGTGTGTAGCACAGTACCTTCAATAATTTCATATATTTATCAATGGCTTTCTGCTCATCAGGGAAAGATTTCAGAAGAGATTGTCGGTAAATTTCTCTTGAACCACACTCCAATTTGTAAACACGTTTCTTTTCACCTTTTCCAATCATTAAAGTGTCAAAATTCTGATCAATCGGAGTAAATTCCAATTTTCCGTCAGTGATCTGATCGACATAGATCTTTGTCAGTGTTCCTGGCACCATCTCACCAACGTAGTGGATACCTGCCAAGAAAAAATAAGCAGTTAGATGTAGCAGCCGCAACTTGGAGTATCAAAAAACGTTGAGGGTTCAACTCCTACTTCTGTCATTTGTAAATACCAGGTATACACTGGGTCAGTGGCGTATCTAGGGGGTGCCCCTCCCAGTCGCACACCCCCAAAAAAAAATCACGATCAAGTAGTTAAAAATCAACTAAAATCACCTTATTTTGCAAATTAGCACCCCTCAACCGATCATCGAGTACCCCCATTTCACCTTCGAGCCCCCCCCCCCCTCAGCACCTCCATTTCAAGACTTCTAGATACCCCAATGCACTATGTTAGCAGTTGTACGAGATAAAAAGCAATTGAGGGTGCTCTAAGGTCCTTGCTCGAGGTCCAATCTCACTGTCGCGTAAAAAATGTGGTTTGGCAATGTCAACTGTATAGTAATGCTTAACATATATCTGTAAATTGTATCTTTTATTTTTTTTTCTCGCTACCAGACTTTTTTTTAATTGTTTACTTTAAAAGAAAATGGTCTTGAAATTAAAGGGGTCTTGGATTCAGAGGGGGTCCTTTAATACATACCAACATCAAACTCAAATCCTTTATCATGGAAAGAATGGCAACATCCTCCTGCTTGGTCGTGCTGCTCAAGGACCAGAACTTTCTTGCCAGCTTTGGCCAGAATTGCAGCAGCTGACAGACCACCGATTCCACTGCCTATCACGATAGCATCTAAGTTTTCCGGAACTTTTTGTGATGTAAAGCCTGCATTATGATATTAAGATCAATTTCAATAATTAAATGAACAAATATACGGTAAACATAAAATCATTTAACAAACTCAATTTACCGTACCACTTCATGTAAAAATCACTGAAAAATTAACTAATATTAATAAACATGTAATAAGGAAAAAAAGTTTGTCAGAGGACAAGTTTGTTAGCAGGTGAGTTTGTAGGAGGCGAGTTTGTTAGGGGGAGAGTTCAGTGGCGGCTCAATGATATTTTTTGGGGGTGGCTGAGCTGTCTGACAGGGGGGACTTGAACTGGAATGTGGCACCGCACCCTGTTCCCTTGACTTGTTTCCCTCCCAATAATAATTTTGAAATTTGTAAGTTCACGACCATGTTGGGTTAACATTATATGAATAAATTTCAAGTCATCAAGCACTGGTAGAGCAACACATTAACAAATTAATCCTGTTACAAGTGTTTTTTGAACAAGATACGATTACTGTAAAAAAAAAATCACAATGTGCCAAGGTCTGTGATTGTTGGACTGTTTGGTGGCCACTGCCAGAATATGCCCGGTCCCACAGATTAAAAACATTGCAAAATCTATTCTATGTATTAAAAGACAGCTCTTTTTACCAAGCAGCAGCCATGACCTCTCTTCTACATTACTGTGTGTAGCCGAGCTAGTTGCCTGTCTTTCTGAGTTCTACAGTTCTTTTATGCCAAGCAGCCATAACAACTGAACTCATGAATAATATAAGCTAAAACTAGTAAACTAGTATTAGGGTATGAAAGCATTATCCTTATTAACACATGTTTGTAATGAAAGTTCGTACGGTACGTGTATATTATGCTCTGAGGCCTAGGTTTTAGTATTTACCTTGTTTGATCACCTTATCTCGGGCTGCGAGGTCACTTACGTACGGTGTATGCTTTGCCTCGATCAAAGTTTTGAAAGGGTTCGGGCCTACATTGAAGAAATTTGCAAATTTTCCTACAGTGTAAACAAGAAAAACTATAAATGAACACCCTATAATAAGAAAGGGATGACCAGCTAGCAAACGAAGACCTTCTTCAACGAACGCCATTTTTTAGGATTAGACCCAGCTATGCTAGGTCTTCTAGGCCTTTAATCTTCTCTTCTCGCGTTGTCAAACAAAAGCAGCAGGGTAGGCCCTAATCTTTTTCTGCGTTTCAATGCAACTTGTTGAAAAGGGATTAGCACGACGCGAAATGCGTTCGAAATCAATGAATGCTGTTATGCATTGATGAAAAACTCAATTCTATATTTGAATTGCTTAATTTGCATATTTAAGACAAGGAATTTATTAACTTACTGTACAATTAAAAATTTAAATAAGATAATAATTTTCCTGTCATTTAACGTGTACAGCCTAATAAATATTTTTGATCAATCTATTTTTAGTCACAGCTAGCCCTGATGAATTTATAGAATTCGATCCAACTCGGCCACAAGTCAACTCGGCCACAGTCAACTCGGCCACAAGTCAACTCGGCCACAAATCAACTCGGCCACAAAAAGTTCGGCTGCAGTCAACTCGGCCACAAGTCAACTCGGCCACAAGTCAACTCGGCCACAAGTTAACTCGGCCACAAGTCAACTCGGCCACAATAATATTGCTATTATTATTGGTGTCATTGTTATTATTGTTTTTATTACCGTTAGTTTTAATATCAATTATTAGTCTTAGCATTAACATTATGTATTGTTTAAATTTTTGCTGATATTATTAT